TAGGCTTAAAAATTGATTAGTATCCCAGAGCTAGCAATTTACTAATAGCGGGCATGTGCTAAATAAGGCATCTGTTAGATGTTCTGGGCCCACTAAGCCCAAAACATCTAGATTTAATTACTAATCTATAACTAGCCAATGGCCAAATTTTTAAAAAAATTATTTGCCGAGATAGCCAAAAGTTTATATAATAAAACTAGTAATATGGTTTGCTAATATTACATAAATTAGAAATTTTTAACCAAAGTTTGGCTATTGCCGTTGGCTGGTTGGCCAGCCCCAAAAAATTGTTTGCCTGCAAAAATTGCCAACTAGATATAATTCAATAAGCCAATTTAGAAATAATTTCTAGTTTAAGTTATCTAATATAGTTAAACCTCTCTAGGTATACACCCTCTCTAAACGTATATTCAAATGCTAATCTAAATATATACTTGACCTCTATCTTATAAGAAAAGTGGTACAGGTTATGGTACGAGTTGGCTTCGGGAATGTACGAAATGGCATGGCATGCACAAGAAATGCAATATCTCATAATTTCACCAATAAAGCTGCTCTGAGTATCTTAACAAAAAAAATTCCTTATATAATTTTACTCCATATTCAGTTAGTTTGTTAATATTATATTGAATTACTAATGTAATTATTAATCCACACATTTGTATTTGTTATTGTAATGGCATATGAATTTACCCGATCAAATCCCATGCCGATTCGAATAATAAACTTCTTCTGTCAAACTTTTATTGGATGCTATACACCCAATAATTATTTATTATTTAAGAGTATATAGCGTATATTGATATGATTGATGTATAAATAGTATGATTATTTATTGAGAGTATACTTTAGTGTAATTGATGTACAAGCGACAGGAGATACTTCCAGAAATAGCAATCTATAATTGTACTGGATATCGTTAAATTCGTAACAGTTAGTAGTTTTTACTTGCATAAAACAAGCAAATGTTTGAAGATATCTGAATAGTAAACTTCTGCCTGGAGATAAGAGAGGTTGAATACGAATCTTACTACTTGGCTATAAAGCCAATAAGAATCTAATAGAGTCAGCAGAAGCTAATGGCTTCAATAGAAAGCCAATAAAGAATAGAGTTCTAATCTCTAGCTTCATATATATAGCTTGACCTGTTGATAAACAGGTTAAACAGATTAATGTTAATAGAGTTGTTGGCTTTCCATTGTTCTGTATTCGGGTCAATAACCAAAAATACCAGCTCTAATTTAAATAGCAATTTTAATTGTACCAAGTATTACTATTATTAGCTAAAATTTGTAATATGTAGGTTGACTTAAAATATAAAGTTTAAAGATACGACAAAATAGCAAAATTTTGTCTAGCTTCTAGCTAATACCAAATATTAAACTATATATAGTTATGCACCTTTGAAACTACACTTTAATAATACAGTCGGCGCACCTCTATAAGTACATACTCTCTCTAAATGCACGTTCAGGTACTGGTCCAAATATATACAGTCTCTATAAATGCACTTTTTCTTATTTTTCTCTATATAAGCATTATTAAAATGTGGTCCCAAGGGTGTGCACTTAGAGAGGTCTGACTATATGTATTTAGAGAATATATAATAAGAAAAGTATACCTATAGAGCTAAGGATATATTTGGACCAGCACTTGAGCGTGGCTTAAAGAGGTCTAACTGTAGAATGTTTATTATTAAGAGTATGTAGCATATATCAATATAATTGATGTACAAGTATAAAGGTTATTATTTAAGAGTATATAGCATATATTGATATAATTGATATATAAACGGTATGACTATTTATTGAGAGTACACTTTAGTGTAATTGATGTACAGCTGAGACAGAAGATACTTCCAAAAATAAAAATCTATAATTGCACAGAATATTGCAGTTATTAGCTAAATTCATAACAGGTAGTAGTTTTTATTTGTATAAAGTTTGAAGATACTATGAATAGTAAACTTTTGCTGGAGATAAGGGAGATTGGGTATGAACCTTACTCCTCTTGACTATAAATCCAATAAGAATCTAATAGAGTCAGCAAAGAAACTAGTAAAGCTAATGACTTTTATAGAAAGCCAATAAAGAATAGAGTTTTAATCTCTATTCTCATATACTAATAGCTTGACCTGTTGATAAACAGGTCAAATGAATCAATATTAATAGATTAGATGACTTTTATCGGCTTTATTTAAAATTATTCTTAATAGAGCAATATTAATAAAGTTATTCTTCATTCGCTCTAATAAATAAGTATGCCAACTTTGACCTATAGATAGCAACTATAATTGTGCCAAGTATTACTATTATTAGCAGTGTATTTATAGAGGTCAAGTATATATTTAGGCCAATACTTGAATGTATATTTAGAAAGTATATATATTATAGTAAAGAGGTTTAATTATAATTATAATTTTAGTTAATATAGTTAAACCTTTCTAATTGTACACCTTTAAGACTAACTTAATAATGCGTATTTAGAAAATACAATCAGACCTTTCTAAGTGCACTTCTATAAGTGTATCCCACTCTAAATTAGGGATATTAAGTGGTACATCTGGTCCAGTCCCGGTCCGTTCTATAAAAAGTTCAGTCCAGGACTAGTTGAATAAAGTAATGATTAAACCTGCCAAAAAAATGTCACTTGGGTCACCTGTGGGTGGACACATGAGCCACTCGGATAGAAACCAGATGGGTTAAAAAAGCAACCTATCAGGTAGACTAATGAGTTAGCCAAGTGAAAATAGATGTACTCTGTTGTTACGCATATCTGTATATACAAATATATTTCTAAGTAATAGTTATATTCTTGGTATATCTGTTATTGTTTGTTTTAAGAACATCCTTTATCAATAGTAAACTTTTGAATAAAAAAAGATAGCTTGTTTCTTAGTAAAATAGTAATTTACCTTTGATTTATTAAGTAGCACAGGTCGAAAGATAAAAAATCAGGCACAAATCAGGTACCCGATTTTAAACTGATTACTACCTGATTACCACTTGATTTATGCATATTTTTGTACCAAATTTTTGGTACAAAAATATGCATAAATCAGGTGGTAATCAGGTAGTAATCAGTTTAAAATCGGGTACCTGATTTGTGCCTGATTTTTTATCTTTCGACCTGTGTAGTACTTAAGAATACCCTTAGACTAATATAAAATCTATTTTTAAAAAGTTTTTTTTTTAAAAAAAAGCAAATTATTTTGATTAAAGTTTAGAAAGTCTTGTGCAAAAGTTTATTTCACAATTACAATAGTGTTTATGGATTACTCAGTTAGCACCTACCTGGGTTTAATTACTAGAAAAAGTTCCTATTCATTATCCGTTTATCCATTTATCTATTATTATCCAGATTTGGATATCTGTTTTACTATTGATATCCAGATAATTATCTAAATAATTGTTGGATTATATAGTTACCAATAGTAAATAGATATCTGGATAAATTCAGATATGGATGAATTTATCTAAATCAAACTTGTTATTAATTTTCTAATTAGTAATTTTATTTAAAGTATTACTACTCGGGTATATTGTTAGTGATATATTTTATCAAATTTTATTTAATGTGTATTATGTAAGAGCTGGACTAGTACTAAACTAGTCCCTACTAGTCTCTAAAAAATATGGGTCTAAACCTGGTCTGAACCAGTTTTCTGTGGACTATTTAACATCTCTACTCTAAATATACACTCAAGTGCTAGCCAAAAAATATATATAGCCTCTATAAATAAACATTTTTTTATTATTTTCTATATACATATTATTAAAGTGTAGTCCCAAGGGTGTACACTCATATGTATTACTAAAGTTTAGCCCCAAGAAGTGCATATACTTACATTATTAAAGTTTAGTTTCAAGGGTGTATACTTGCATATTAAAAATTAGTTTCAAGAGCATACACTCACATTATTAAAGTGTAGTCCCAATGGCATACACTTATGTTATTAAAGTGTAGTTCTAAGGGGTATACTTAGAGAGATCTAATGTATTATATACATAGAGATCAATAGGATAGGTCAACACTTGAGTATATATTTATACTTAAAGAGTCTGTATATAAATATTTGAAAATTTTTATATAAATCCATACTTTGATTTAAATTTTAACAAGTGTGATCTAATTTGTATTATTTTTTATAATCTTTAATAAATCAAATGCTATGTAAAAAAACAAAAAAACAAAATTTTAAATATACTATCACCACTTCTATGACAGTCAAAGCTAATAATGATAGTACAGGCTATTCTGTTTTTGTACAAATGACATCTGTACAAAATAAGATACTTAAAGTACACCGAGATGACTATGCCTACTGGCATTGCTAAGTGTAAAAGGTACTTTTCACCCAACTCATGATACAAATGAAACCAAACAAATAAATACCTTATATAGTGTTCTTTGTCAAGGTGAAAATAGATCTACTACAATGTCTTTTGAACAATTACTTTCTTGCAGTAAATGTAAAGTACATGATACTGATCTTGTTGCAAAACATAACTATTTTGCTACAACACCAAATGAAAAACAGTGGCATCTGACTGAAATTACTCCTCCATCAGTGGTCACAATGTGGTTTTTTGGAACTATTACTAGGTTTACTAAAGATGCTTTAGTAGAAAAGGTTGAGTTTGAATATGTTATTGAATTTAAAAATATAACTATTCATAAAATTAATATTAAGGATAATGATAAATATGAGTTTTTTGGATATAGAAAAGTAATTTTTAAAGAAAGCAAGAAATTAGAAGCCAATTCTAAAAATGATTAATTTTATTGGTTACTAGTTATTTCTCTGAAACCTTTTTCCCTAATAAATTTTTCACTAAAAATATTTTACTGAACCAATCTCCATAACATAATCTATTTTCCTGAACCTATTTCCCTAATATAAACTACTTCCCCAAATCAATTTACCTGACATATCCACTTTCACAAATTTCTACTTTTCTGAATTTCCACTTTCCAGAAATTACCATTTCCCAGAATTTTCACTTTTCCAAAATTCTCACTTTTTCAAAATTCCCACTTTCCAAAATTCCCACTTCCCCAAAACTCCCACTTCCCCAAAATTACCATTTCCTTAAAATTCCCGCTTCTCCAAATTCTCACTTCCCCAAATTTTCACTTTTCAAAACTCCCACTTCCTGAAATTTCCACTTTATTTCTCCAAAATCCCCACTTTCCACTCCCCAAAATTCCTCCTTGACATTTTTATCTTCCCAAATTCCCATCTCCCCAACATTTCCATCTCCTGATATTCCTATTCTTCTTTCCTAACACATCCTCTTTGAATCCGCTCTTTTTTTTATTTTGAGTGATGATAAAAATTATTAATAGATAGCATTTCACTGTACTACCAGTCAGGGAATAAAATTCAAAGTCAAAATTTGGTGTGCGTTGCGCACCAAATTTTAGATTCCACGTGCGCAAAGCTTGATATAGTAGAACAAGTCTAACTGTATAGAGCACATTATTTTAAATAATTATTAAAATAATTGCGTGTGCTTTGCACACAGCATTATATTTTTTTTTGTGTGCAAAAAAATTTTCTGTGTGCGGAGCGCACATGCGCATATTGAATTTTATTCACTGCTACCAGTAGTACATTGTACTATATTGTGACACTATTAAAAGTAAATTTCTAGTAATTTTAAAAATTAATTTTATTTGAAATAATTTTATATAGTTTGTTAGGTTTTTGGCTATACAAAAAACTTTTTTGGTAAATTTAAATAGCATTTCTAA